GAAAGAAAGAAAGAAAGAAAGAAAGAAAGAAAGAAAGAAAGAAAGAACGAATCATGCTAAGCTAACATGAGCCTGCCTCTCCCCCTAGTGTGTAGAGCACTGGACTTAGAAGCAGAAAGACCTGGGTTGAAGGTGCCTACCTCAGGCACCCACTAGTGTGACCCTGGCCATATCACTCAACCTCTCTGCCTCAGTTTCCTTATCTGTAAAGTGAAGGGTTGGTCCTTGACAGCCCCTAAGGACCCCTGTGGCTCTAAATCCATGATCTTGTGATTCTTGTCAAGCCCCCTCCCCTATCACTGACCCAGGAAGAGTGGATGGTCTGCGGTCCATGCCTCTGCTAAAGGCAGCCTCCTTTAAAAGATAAGGTTCCCCCCTCCCCCAACCCTATCAGGAGCCCAGGCAATGAAAGGGGGTTGTGTTGGGTTTTCTCCCAAGCTTCTGTTGAGTACACCTCCAGTGACAGGCCCTTACTTAACATTAACCCTATACTGTATTATCTGGATTTGTGATTTTTTCCACCAACTAGGGGAGAAGGAAAGGGAATAAGCATTTTTATAGTACCTACTATGTGCTAGGCACTGTGTTAAGTACTTTTTCTTTTTTCACAATTATAATCTCAGATCCTCACAACAACCCTGGTAGGTAGGTGCTATGTTATCCCCATTTTACAGTTAAGGAAACTGAGGTTAAGTGACTTGCCCAGGGTCACTCAGCTAGTAAGTGTCTGAGGTCGGATTTGAACTTAGGTCTTCCTGACTCCAGGCCCAGCACTCTATCCCTCACTCCACCAGCTGCCTAGATTGTAAACTCCTTTAGGGCAGGCAGCACATCTTCCCTAAAGTCGGTATCTCCCCAAGTGCTGAGCATAATGTTTATATGTATTAAGTGGTCAGTGAGTGTCGTTAGAATTCCAGAGTTGGAAGGCACCTCAGTGGTGCCATGCTGGAGGAAGAAGCCTAGCACACCCAGTGAGCCAACCAGCCTGGTCTGCAGATGTCTGTGAAGAGGGAGCCCCCAGACCATGCTCAGTCAGTTCTCACTGCTGGAAAGTTTGATAGTTGGGGAAACTGAGTCTCAGCGCAGCCAAGTGACTTCCCCATGGTCACACAGCTTGTGAGTGAATAAGCCAGGTTTCAGATCTAGGCGTGGCTGGCCGAAGTTACAGTACCTGCATTTGAATCCCAGCTCCCTGGGCCTCAGCCTGGTGACCTCGGAGAGTCCTTGCAGCTGGGATGCATTACGTCGCAGATGGCATAATAGAAAGACGGCCCATAGAGAATCTAGCACAAAACCAGGTTGTGACGAGGGACGGAGGGTGGCTGGGAGTGAGACAACAGGTCTCCTGAGAGGCCTCAAGACCGGCCATGCACCAGGTACTTCTCCACTCAGCAGGAGCCTGTTTCTCTTCCCCAGCAACCCCTGGTGCGGCTGAGAGGTGGTGCCAACACCGGAGAAGGCCGAGTGGAGGTGCTCAAGAACGGGGAGTGGGGCACCATCTGCGATGACCAGTGGAACCTGGTGTCGGCCAGCGTGGTCTGCCGGGAGCTGGGCTTTGGGAGCGCCAAAGAGGCCATCACAGGCGCCAGGCTTGGGCAAGGTAAGAAGCAGCTCCTGGCTCCTCCTGGTCTGCTCCCTCAGGGCAGCTCATGGGCAGCTCATGGACAGCTGTGGGAGCCCCTCCCTTTTCCCCAAAGACCCTCCCAGTCTTCCCTTTCTCCTCTCTGCTGCTCCAGAGTTAGGCGAATGGGGATGTTTGCCTGCAGTGGTTTCCAGGGAGTCCCACTCTCCCAACCGCAGCCCCTCGATTTTCATTTTATTTCATTTGGTTAATAGAGTATTGTTTCTTTCTTTCCTTCATTTCCTTCCTCCCCTTCCCTACTCTTTCCTTCCTTTTTTTACTCCTTTCCTCCCACCGTCCTTCCTGGAGACTAGAGTACCATACACAGCCTTGGGGGCTGCCACATCGTACTGAGGACTCATCTTGAGCTTGGGAGCCAGTAAGACCGAGTGTCCAAAAAGTCTCAGTGTAGTTTTCAGCTTTAATAATAATGTTGATGATGATGAGCTTTAATGGTTTAAAACTATCCTAAGACCCTAGGGACGCCCTGTATCAGTTGCACGTTGCGTGGGTAGAGGGAGTTTGCCCATTCAGGCGTCCTCCCGGGTTCAGTCCAAAAAGAAGTGCTATAATCTTCACCTCGGCCCATCATTTTAGCCCGAGGAGGGAGTTTTCATCCTCACTGGCATCCAGCACATTACCCCTTCCTGCGTCATGGTCCCTGCCAAGCTGATGAGCTTTCCATCTCTGTCTCCTTTATGCAAGACACCGATGAAAACATAAGAGCCAGGACAGAGGGGATTCCCCTGGCACTCCCCCTGAGGCTCCCTCCAACCTGAAGGTGATCCACTAATTACGTCTTTTTGGGCCTCGTTATCCAGCTCATTCCAAATCGGCTGCATGGCTAGGATATCATCTAACCCACATCTTTCCATCTCATCTGCCAACACAGCAGGAGAGACTTTGCCAAGCATTCTGGTGAAATCTAAGAACGGTCTAGCAGCAGGGGGTCCTTGATCTGCCAGGGTGCAGGGGTACAGTGGAAAAGTCAGAGGCTCTGGAATTTGACATTCTGGGGGGCAAATCCCATCTTATACTCCCTTGTGACCTTGGCCAAATCGCTCTGGAACTCAGTTTCCTCATCTGTCAAGGATCTCTGTGAAGGAACTAGAGATATGCAACCTTTAGAATTGAAGACTTGGGAGGGCATGAGAGCTGTGTCCAAGTATTCGAAGGGTTGCCTTAGGGAAGACAGATCGGACTTGTTCTGCTCAGCCCCAGAGATTAGAACCAGGGCCAGTAGCTACAGGTCACACATTTAAGCTGTATGTCATGAAAAAGCTAGCCATCAAAGCTGTCCCCAAAATAGAAGGGGCTGGCTTCAGGGGTGGTTTCTCCCTCACTGTAGGTCTTCAAGCAGACGCTAGAGGACCAATGGCCAGTAGGTTACACAGGAGATTCTGGAATGGCCATAGAGGTCTCCTCCGACACTGAGATTCTAAGACAAAGGACTCTGGGACAATTCGAGGAGGTTGAGATCTCTTCTGCATGGGGAGGTCAGGGGCGGGTTTACAAAGAAGGTGACGACTGAGCTGAGCCAAGAAAGCTCGGGCAAAGATGAGGAGTAAGAGTATAAAAGGTGGGGAAGTCCTGGTTGGGCTCTAGCCCCTTCACCTAATGTTTCCTCCTAACAACAACAATAACTCGGGAGGCAGCCTGGCACAATGGAAATGTGCTGGCTGTGTTTGAAGTCAGAAGCCCAGAGTTTGAAGGTTGGCTCTACCGCTCATTACCTCTACCTTGGGTGAGTTGCTTCCCCTGTCTGACCCTCCTCTATTAACATGAAGGAGGTAGGCCAGACATCGGCCTCTGAGCTCCCCGTTCGGGATCTGTGATCCCTTGAACTCCCCACAGGGCTGTTGCTGTCCCTGACCACCACTGTTCAGATGGAATCTGGTTTCCATTACCTGTTCAAGCCTGGATCAAGAGTACAGACAAGCTTTTAAAAGGGTTGCCCTCTGAAGAGACATTGTCCAAACATGAGTGCTAGAGGATAACAGCCCCCCACTCCCCGGGAGGCCCCTCACATACCAAACATCCTCACACTTCCTCCCCAGACCCTGCTTCTAGGAATTGCTGGGGCCGAGGGCCCCTCGCTAACAATGAGCCATGTCTTCAATTTCAGTTTTAAAAACAAGGCAGAGAAACATCTGCATCTGGTAGGAGTGAGTGTGGATTTTATTGGGTGGTGAGGGGCTCAGCAGTGAGGGTCCCAGGCCTGTGAGATGGGGCTATGGTGTCAAAGGGTCATAGATTTCCAAGCTGGAAAGGTCTTTAGAGATTGAGTACAGCTCCCTCCTTTCACACATTCTACACGTATTTCTAGTCCGTCAGAAACACAATCCTAGAACAGAATGTGCTGAACTCATCAGCCCCTAGACTATTAAGTCTAAGAAAAGCCCGAAGTGGCCTCAAGGGTCTGCCTCACACTCTCTGCTTTTGTTTTTAATTTTATTTTAATTTATATCTTTTGCTTTTTTAAATGACACTCATTTCTTTTTAAAAAGTTTTTTCTATTAATCTCTCCCTCCCCTTATCACGCCCTCTGAACTGAATAGTTTTTTAAAAACGAAAAAGTAAAGGCCTCCACACATACATGCACCGTCTAGCCAAGCACATTTTCATATTGGCAGTGCCTGGAAACGTTTCGTTCTGCATTTTGAGTTTCTCACCAAGTGGCAAGTTTCATCTGCATTCTTTCAGTCGTGATTTATCACAGCATTGATTAGCAGCCTGAAGTATTTCAATTATTATTGTACAAATAGTTCTTGGGCTGCTGCTCACTTCCCTCTGCATCAGTTCATAGAGGTTTTCCGAGTTTCCCCTGAAATTGTCCATTTCATCCTTTCTCATGTAGTGGGAATATTCCTTTACATTCATACTCCACGGTTTTTTTAAGCCATTCTTCAATAAGAAGGCATTCTCTTAATTTCTAGTTTTTCTGCCTGCCACTTCTGAAGGGTTCCTAGTGTGTGGAAACCAGAGTCACATTTCTGGCCCGGCTTCTAAAGGTCCCTAGGAAAATTTGGAGTTTTGACTCCTATAGAAATGGATCTTTCTGGGGCAGCTAGGTGGCGCAGTGGATAGAGCACCGGCCCTGAAGTCAGGAGGACCTGAGTTCAAATACGGTCTCAGACCAAACACTTGTCACTAACTAGCTGTGTGACCCTCGGCAAGTCACTTAACCCCAATTGCCTAAAAAAAAAAAAAAAAAAAAGAAATGGATCTTTTCGAGATGCCTGGGAGTTTTCTTCTCAGGATGTCCTAATCAAAAGTCAACCCATGCTTTTAAGTGGGTTTGTGAGAAGAGGTTCTGTGGGTTCATGTTCAATGAGGAAGACTGGGGATTGGAAGTCATTGATTGTGAAAAATTGGAGATAAAGGGGACCGAAGCAACATAATGTGATAGAGAAGTTTCCAAGAGGGCAAAGATGTGGGTGAAGTACAGAGGACAAACAGAGTTTCTCCAGACCTCCTAACTGCTGGGACCAGTCATTGAAGCAATCTTTCCCAGCTAGGACAACTGGCCTCAGCCAGGAAGACCTAAGTTCCAGGCTTTCCAACCACCCACTGTTGTCTGTGTGATGCCAGGCAAATCATGGAGTTTCTCATTGCCCCACGTCAATCTTGAAGACTATAACCTATAGAGTACCTGCTTATCTGCATGGGTGGAGCAAAGTTTCTCACACCAAGGAAATCACAGATCCAGACTAAAATTTTGAAAGAGCCTAATATGAAAGATATTACTCTTCTTGCCAAAATTAAAAAGTTATTTGCTTTTACTTTTAAAAGAATATCCCACCTCTGCCACTTATTGTTTGTGTGACCTAGGGCAAATCCCTTAACCTCTCTGGGCCTCAGTTTCTTCATTTGTAAAAAGAGAGAGTTAGTCTAGAAGACCTCTGAGGTCCTTTCTTCCAGCAACAGAGTTGTGATCTGACCTTTTAGGATCAATCTCTCATGGGGAAAGAACTGAAAGGGACTGACCTTAGTGTTCTTTCAGCCCCCTAAACCCCTTTTACAGATAAGCAAGCTAAGGCCCAGAGAGAAGTCACTGGCTTAAGCTCACATAAGCTTTGCTCATAACCTCATGAGGTAGGGTGAACAAGGGTTATTACTCCCATTTGATAGAAGAAGGAAACTGAGTCTCAGGGCCGTGGAATGACTTGGCTAGGGTAATAGAGGCAGTAAGTAGCAGGAGCCTGGGTGGCAAAGTGGAAAGACCGTTGGAAAACCCTGAGTTTTACTGTGATCTCACATCCTCCCAGCTCTTGTGTTTGTAAGCTTCTCCAGGGCAGGGACTGTCTTTTTATTATTATTATTATTATTATTATTATTATATCCCCAAAGCTTAGCACTGTGTCTGGCACATAGTAGGTGTTTAATAAATGTTTGAGTGACTGACTAAGGTTGTTGTGAGGATTAAAGGAGATAACAGATATCAAGCCCTTTGCAGACCTTGAAGCATTACATAAATGTTAGGCATAATTAGAACTCGGATCTCCCTTCTTTCAGCATTCTGCTTTTTTCACTACGGAACAGAGTCCGAGTTGCTCTGTGACTTTGGAAACGTCCCTCCCCCTCTTGCACCTCAGCTTTCTGATCTTGGTCCTACCCCGCAGTTTTCTTGCAAGGAAAGTGCTTTGGCCTTCTTTTTTTCCTCCAATAATGAGGAATTTTCTTAAAGCTACATTGTATTGATGGGGTTCTGTAATCAGGGGTGGCTGTTTAATAACAATTCAGTCATTTCAATTGTGTCTGACTCTCTGTGACCCCATTTGGGGTTTTCATGGCAATAATATTGGAGTGATTTGTTATTTCCTTCTCTAGATCATTTTGTAGATGAGGAAACTGAGGCAAACAAGGTTAAGTGACTTGCCCAGGGTCACACAGCTCATAAGTGTCTGAGGCCAGATCTGAACTCATGAAGATGAGTCTTCCTGACTTTAAGCCTGGCACTCTAGCCATTGTACCACCTA